GAGTATCTTCATTCGAAGAATCTTGACGGCAATCTGATTATTATATCATGGAATGATTCTCTCACTACTAAAAATATTATTTCAGTAGACTTAAACATGGTGAACTAATATCTGTTTATACTTACTCAATGTACATATTCATGAAAAGGTACACATTTTCATAATGTGGAACTAATTCTTAAACTTGCTATGATAAATGGTAATTTGGAAACGTGACTTATCCATACCTTCAATGTATCGTATATGTATGACGAAGCAAAGATTTCAGAAAATAGACAATCGTTTACAAAGTGTTCGCATTTACGTGAAGTGTTTCTTTTTGCGAATTCACTACCTCAGTAAGATTTCATTTCACATGTACCAATAGAAAATACGGACACTTTCTCATCAACGCGCAATTAACTAACAGACACTTAATCTTGTTCAAAATTAACATCATCTCATATATCGTTTTGTTGCTTTGTGGTCAAGTCACTTATTGATCAAAGTGAAGACTTCACTATTGATTCAAATTGGATTTTGAATCCTTTTCATCATTCAACAAAAGAATCGATGTGTAGTTATTAATGGTAAGTGAGACGTCATTGAGGATAGATAGCTCGATATCATTTGGTGGTTAAATAAAATTATACATGGAATATTCAAATTGTTGAAGTAAAATGGATGTTTTCAAGAGTGAAGATAATTATTACTGATTAAATAAGTTATAACATACCTCCAATGAATTCATATTCCACCATCGTGCCACTATTGATCCATGTTTCAGGAGTAATTATTTGAGTTTCTATTATATCATGTGTGATATAGTGAACAAGAAAAGACACATAGGATTTTGTATTCGTTTATAAATACAACAGGTTATTTGCACCATCTAATTCGTGGTCTAAACAAGGAACTGGGTATTGCTTATTGCTGATTATCTAGAATGCCCAAAACTTATTAAAGTACATCAAAATCGATCAATGTCCAACCAGTACCATTCGTTTAATTCTGTTTCATACAAAGCACACTTCTTTTTGAGTGAAGATTGAGGACTAAAAGTGTGACTTGTGTACTGTAAGTTAAATAATAAACGAGTGCGAATATAAATTCTTTAATCTCGTCATTCATATGTTCCCATCCGAATGCGTCAATCGGTAACCACAAGACTGAGCCGCATCAAAATAGCCATCCACACTTTAGGGATAAATACATTCATACAACTTAGTTCCTTTACACAAGATATCTGGTTAAGTGAGTATAAGCATATGTGGACATTGAAATCTATTATCGGTGAAATTTATCACAGAAAGCTGAAACAACACCATAACGATCTCACTCTGAATCATTTCTGTGGCACCATCAAGTATGATAGTTGTTGATTTGAATACATATGAACTTGGATTTCAATTCATTTTATAATAATGGTCTTATGTTCGAAAACCCTAGTCGCAAATATCAAACACTTACACTGACAGTCACGATCAGTGTGACACTGCAATTTTCCTACAAGGAGTGTGAACATCGATCTCACGTTGAATGTTCACAATTCAATAACATTTGAACAGTGCTTTTACAAGATGCATATCAATTTCATTTTGCACAATTATCCACAACACTTCAATGACTTTTATATCAGTTGATTTTACAAGCAAATCAAATCTTTAACGTAAACTGTAACGAGACTAAATTAGATCACTGTGATAGAATTAAGGAATGTTCTGTGTTGACGTGCTGATAACCAGGGTACAAACAGAAAATAATATAACACAAACAGATAACTGATGATACGAGTAACCTAACATCAATGTGGTGACAACATTTATTGAAATGTTTCTTACTTGCTCTACATGTGATTTTCGGTTTCCATTCAATTTCTTTAATTTCCCTTGAAACCTGGAAGAAAATGTTGATAGTTTGAGTCAACATCTCTCAACACACAACCTCCTAAATGAAAGTGAGGTGATTCACTTCTAATTATTCACAGTCTCGAACAAATGGTTGAATAAGTTGTGTCATCAAAGGTTGAATAATAGTGTCAAATATTCCGTTTGCACTTTACAGAATGTTGCTACATTTGTTTCGTGTTCAGTGTAACTAGTTATATATTTGACAGTATTCATAAACATGAAATAGTTGAGTAATCTGAAGTACTTGAAATAAAACTACATTTGCATTCAATTGTACAACTTACTTTATCATAATAAAAAACTATTCTCCCATTCGGATGTATTAGGTAAGTTACCTCGGCTGTAAACTCTACAATTAGAAAACCATCGACATTTAGAACTTGGGCGAAAACAGTGATCAATCAATCGGTAGATGTGACATAGTATATGTCAGTTCATAAAGTGACCATGTTTCAGTGAATAGTTACTGCGTTATGTCGAATTTTTTCTTCAGTTGACTTCACGGTAAATAATTACAAGTGCACGTCATGGGAATGAGAGAAGCGTGCATCCTACTAAACGAATAATAAATGCCTAAAGCTGTATTACTATTGTATTATTACTGAAACAATAAATCGGTAATTATTGCATTAAGATCCGATGATCAATGAAGTATTCATATGTATGCGGTATACATTCTTGAATGCCTGATAAAACAATCGAGACTGAGTACACATGACATAAGATTTGGATTGTTTGCATACAAATTGAACTTGGAGATTTAATTGGTTACATGGTTACGTGATATTTCAATCGATCAACTGAATACGACCATAGTGTTTATTTGTTGTAGATGAGAAACGAATAGCCCAAGATATATGGTATTAAGAATATTTTTAAAATTTCAATGGATAATATTTAGAAATGACTATGAGATTAATGGATGTGTAGATGAATGTGTTGTGTACAGAACTGGCTTTGTGACCAGCATACAACACAATGTATGTATTTTGAAACTGAAACTGTTCATCAAATTCAATTCAAGCCCGTAAACGTCAACGAATCTCTCAATTCGTTTGCACACAAATGAAATAAGATTGTGACCTGATTTATCCACCATAGTGATCTGTATTTTACTCATCAACCTTAGTCATTTCCAGATCACATCAACTATTCTTCAAATCTTATTCAGCGTCATCATGCGACCCTCATTTCTCTGAAAAGTGACAAATTCCTACATTTTCAGTTTCTGACAAAAATTGAATCTGACAACCTATGAATAATCCTTTGGAATGAAGATGTAAGTGTTTAGATTCCACATGTGTTGACTTACGTTTACCATCAACTTCTTTATTCATAAACCATTTGACAGCAAATAATTCCTCTGAAATAATGAAAATAGAAATGGATGTTTAAATATCTGCATAATGAATAACTATCACATTCAATAAATGAAAGTTTAAACATGGACTACATCTGCATGCAAGTTATGATCTTCATTCTGCGATTCACTGAACCGATGTAGTCAAATACTCAAGTACCTTTCATGATAGACTATAGAGTTGGTAATTAGCACTCGTACAATAACATCACTTGTTTTATCATTTCTACTCTTCCAATGTGTTTGTATGTTGAGGTGAATCTCTGTTTTGTTTAATATTTTCACATTATAGTAATCAAAATGTGTTGTGAAACACACATGTTCTGATACGACAACCAAACAAACAAAACGATCATCGTGTGTTGATAAGCTCTTGTGTAATAATCAAGTGAAATAGAGAATAATGTGTGCAAAGTTAAGTGTGGGAATAAGTAATGAAACAAATTATAACTGAATAATACAAGAACTCACTCTTATTCAAAATCGCAAATTCAGGACTTATACTGGTTGCATGAAAAGCTTCAATATATCCGAGGTAATCTTCTCTGTATATATCTATGCCACCTGTATTTATTTATTGAAAACATGAAACATGATTGATCATTTAACATTGAATGAAATAAACTAAAGACTTAAATGAATTGCATGAATGAACTGCATCTGGATTTCTATAAAGCATCACATTATCAACACAATTTGAAGAAGAAAGAATATCCAAAGAATTATTGCATGTCTCTAGGAGTATAAAACTAATTCAATAAAGAAATGGAATCAGCTTGGATTCATGGACAAAAATGTTGTCAAGAAAATGAAATTATAATTCGAGGTCAAAGAAAATTACTGACTTACCAGCAGGGAAATAAGAACTTTTTAACCTGACTACTGTAATATTTAAACGACAGTTCTGGTTTAACATTCTGAAAAGACGTAAACACAGGGACAAGTACGTCCATCACAAAATGTATTCAACTCACCAAAGTATCTGTGTATTTATCCAAACTTGTAGTCACAGATGGCTGAGGCTGGTTAATACTGATGCTTTGTAAATACATATAATGTTGAGACTGAGTATGTGTATAACGATCAAATTGATTACTTACGTATCGATAAGAACTATTTTCAAAAATTACTTTTCCCGAAGTCGTCCATCCAGTTTGATTACAGACATCCTGGCATTCAAAGAACTCGGCAAGGCAGATGATAATTAGAAAAACTGACGTCGATTGAGAAGATAAAATGTTGTGTCTAAAATGGTTCAGATGAAATAAACAACGTAATCTCGTTGCATCGATTTTCAATTTGAGTTCGTATGTTCAGTCAACACTCACCTCATCTTCTTGTTCAAAGTAGTAGGTCATATTTTAATAGAACGTGTCAGGTTTATATAGATTTTTGAAGTGTAAGGTTGTTTACTACTGATTCGATGATTCAAACTGACCATTAATATGAATATATGTGGTAAAATCGTATGTCCATTGTTAACCAATCATAGACGTAGATGAGTCCATCTTTATTCAATATATTTCTCACTGTTAAGAATATGATCTGAAATTTATCCACAGTTGTTTGAAATTCCTGACCCCTATTGATGAAACCGATTATGGATGTGATTAATACTAATTTATAATCAACGATTGGTTAACTTGTAGTTCAAAAGATCTGCTCATATGTTCATGAACAAACAGTTTGTTGTCTGTAATAATCTGTTAATTAACATTTAATAGTGCACCATCTTGATTGGATTGGCTAAAATAAAAGTAGCACAAACTGTTTTGATTGGATGTGAAAACTTACCCATTTACATTTGTATTTTATTTCAATGAACACATTCTGTCAAACGATTGCATAGGTCGTTTAATATGAAATAGCAACTTGTGAACAAAACCACATCCATTCTAGTTGTCCATCATATTGCACTGCTGACTGTTAATAGATTTCGGGAATATTTATGTCTGTGTAATATATACAAATAGTTTTCTTTTCTTGATACAACAGAGGTGTATTGTTTCATTTTAGAAAGATCTCGACATTAGACAAAATGTCGTATCCTCAGGTATTACAGTCTGTAGTCGAACAAACAATTGTACTGTGATTTCGTGAATTGATCAACATCAAAATTGTGTTCAATGATACATTGCTCGTTTCATGTTGTTCATCATGATCTAATTACCAGAGCAAAACATATCTGCGTAGGTATTAGTGTCAATCAGTAGTTGTGCTCAGGAAGAGTATGAGTCAGATTATAAATTATTTGATGTGATATCTCGTTATACCCACTTGTGTATTTTATATATTGTTATTAGGAAATATGTTGCAAGTACACAGTATGACTTAAGGCATGATTTTGTCGTTATGCCATGTCAACTAATACAGCTTGTCAATTCTTGCATATAACCTATTGCTCTGTACTGTTCTCCATTATCCATTCATGAGCATTGGAAAAAGGGACTTTGATATATTGCGGTGAGTGATCGAGTCAGTTAGCTAGGAGTGCGGAGAAGCTTTTCAGGTCATTATTATTAGGGTTGTGGATAAACATTTATGTCTAGCTAAATCGTCACAGGTGTCCTCTTATCAGGTACCAACACCCTATTCGCTTTATATGTCTCTTTATATATCTTTTGTTAGAACGAGACACTAATGCATTAGAATTCATGTATACAAGGAAAAGTATAAGAATCCTACATTACCTTATCTGGATAGAATATACTGTTAGTTTTTCAATGTAATTTTGTGATGACAGCACAAATGATCGTCATATTTTGAATGTTAAACACTACCATTCGTTTACATAATGAATGAAGTTTTCTCAAAAAGTCCTTTCAACAACTTGTCGATTACATGAGGTGTACTTCAGTGTTTTTCATTAATTCAGAAGAAGATTATTCTTCTTAAATGATCTCTTTCTTCCTCATTACATCTTCAACAGAGACTAATATACTCCTTCTACTTATTACCAATATAAGTATATTCTAATGTCGAACATAAGATTGTGCTCCGCGCTTCAACGATAATCAGTTTCGACAAAAAACGAAAATGTGCAGGCCATTAGGTGTGGATAAATGGGATTTTATCAGATTTATAATGTTCATTGTAGCTTATAAATTTTACTACGGTCAGCTTTACAAAGGGAAATTCAGCTACACTTATTCATAATTTTATGATGAGAGGCCAGAATTAACCAGATAAACAAGCTGAACAAGAATAAAAACACTACTCATTAAGTTCAAGTGTATGAATGAATTGCTTGCATATTTGCTTACCTACTTATGACATCTGAGATTTCGGAAAACAGACATTCCAGATTATCTAAAAGCGTATTTTGAACATTTTGCCCTAGCGAGCAACTCAATCAGCGAACTTTCAACGATCAACAGATGCTTGGGATCGCCTAAATTTATATCAACTCGTATATGCACTGAAGGCACAACTGGTGATGTGCTGAAAAGAATTGATTCAAACCTATGTCAAATGACTGTGATAAATAGTATTTGTCAGATAGAAAGCGATAGGCGATTTCACTTCCATATTATCTGACGTTGATTGTTCTCTGTTTTCATTGTTTGCATTTTTTTGTATTCTCTCTTTTAAAATATTTAACACTCACCTGCTACATCTCCTTTTAAATAGCGTACACTCATCTCCTGCATCTCTATGTTATTCGACACCATAATCTGTTCGACGGCTGAAACATATAGCTCGGGTGATTTACAAGGTAACATTGTCTATCACGATCATACTATCCTGTATGGACAGTAATAATTTGACTGGAACACAACACGTGCTTCATATGTACACTTGAAGTTCTATTGAACCTGTACGATTCAGTGAGGAATATGTATCTCTATATCACATATCATCATCACATTTACTATTTCAGTACATTTATTCTAATATGCGTTTACACATAATAAATATCCTTCTAAAAATAAATATGATGATGATATTATTAGTGTACACTATCGGAGAGTGTGATTTTAATATGGCGTCAGTCTGTTGACCTCAGTTGTTGTTTGTAGAAACGTCAATGTATGTACTTCTATGTTGTTTATCACCATATTCTATCTAAATAATCAAAATTACATGATTTTCTCTTTTGTGTAATGTGCCTGATATAAATCTTGAATATCATAAGGAAAGTAGACTTACTTACTTACGCCCGTTACTCCTCGTGAAGGAGCATAGGCCGCTCACCAGCATTCTCCATCCAACCCTGTCCTGGGCAATCCTTTCGAGCTCCTTACAGTTCTTATTCATCCTTTTCATATCTGCTTCTATTATCCGACGCAATGTGTTCTTTGGCCTTCCTCTTTTCCGCTTCTCTTCAGGATTCCAAGTTACGGCTTGTCTCGTGATGCAGTTTGACTATTTCCGTAATGTAGGTCCTATCCATTTCCATCGTCTTTTCCTAATTTCTTCTTCAACTGGAAGTTGGTTTGTTCTCTCCCACAGAAGGCTATTGCTGATGGTATCCGGCCAATGGATGTTGAGTATCTTGCGAAGACAGCTATTTATAAATACTTGTACCTTCTTGATGTTGGTTGTTTTAGTTCTCCAAGTTTCAGCTCCATACAGTAGAACTGCCTTGACGTTCGTATTGAAGATTCTCACTTTGATATTGGTTGAAAGTTGTTTTGAGTTCCGGATAATATTGACAATCTTCTCAGGAACTCCGTAGTGTCGAAGAAGTTTCCATAATGTCCTCCTATCTACACTGTCGAATGCCTTTTCATAATCAATGAAGTTGATGTATAGTAATGAGTTCCACTCAACTGATTGTTAGACGATGATCCGTAGTGTTGCAATTTGGTCTGTGCACGACCGATCCTTACTGAATCCAGCTTGTTGATCTCGAAGTTGGGCGTCTACTGCATCCTTCATCCGGTTCAGCAACAATCTGTTAAAGACTTTCCCTGGTATTGACAGTAGTGTAATGCCTCTGTAGTTTTCATATTTGCTCAGATCTCCTTTCATTGGAATCTTGACGAGGTGTCCTTCCTTCCAGTCCATCGGCACTTGTTCCTCCTCCCAAATCTTTTTGAATAGAAGATAAAGCATGCTTGTGGTTGCTTCGATGTCTGATTTCAGTGCTTCAGCTGGTATGTTGTCGGGTCCTGCTGCTTTCCCGTTCTTGATTTGTCTGACGGCCATTCTAATTTCTTCCGTAGTTGGTGGATTGACATCTATAGGAAGATCTATGTGTGCTGCTTCGATGTCCGGTGGATTCATTGGAGCCGGCCTATTCAGAAGTTCCTCGAAGTATTCTACCCATCTGTTACGCTGCTGTTGAATTTCGGTGATTGGCTTGCCTTCTTTGTCTTTGACCAGCCTCTCTGGTTTACTGTATTTCCCTGATAGTTTCTTCGTTGTATCGTAAAGCTGTTTCATATTTCCTTCTTTTGCAGCTTTTTCTGCCGTCGTTGCTAGTTCTTCCACGTATTTCTTCTTGTCGGCTCTAATGCTCCTCTTCACTTGCTTGTTTGCTTCTATGTATTCAGCTTGTGCTTGGACTTTCTCTGCTCGTGTTCGGCTGTTGTTTATTGCTGCCTTCTTATTCTTCCTTTCTTTGATCTTGTCCAGTGTTTCTGTAGAGATCCATTCCTTATGATGGTGTTTCTTTAGACCGAGAACCTCCTGACACGTTGGAATGAATGTTTCTGTGATGCCTTTCCAGTTGTCCTCCATAGTAGTTTCTTCTTCCTTCAGTAGATCTTGTAAGGCTCGGAACCTGTTGTTGAGAGCTATCTTGAATTCATTGAGTTTGTCAGTATCTCGAAGGAAGGCTGTATTGAACCTTTGTAGTGCTGTTTGTCCACTTGTCCAGTTCTTCTTTAGCTTCAGTTTTAAATTGGCTACAACTAGGTGGTGATCTGAAGCTACGTCATCACCTCTCCTGGTTCTCACATCTTCCATTGTCCTTCGGAATATTTTGTTGATGCAAATATGATCTATTTGGTTCTCCGTAGTGTGGTCCGGTGAGATCCATGTAGCCTTGTGTATACGCTTGTGTGGAAATATTGTGCCTCCTATGACCAATTTGTTGAATGCACATAGATTTGCAAATCTTTCTCCATTTTCGTTTCTTTCTCCCAGTCCATGTCGTACCACAATATCTTCATATCCAGTATTGTCTATTCCGACTTTGGCATTTAGATCTCCTATTAGAATGGTGAGGTCCTTTCTTGGGCATTTCTCTATCACTGACTGCAGCCGCTCGTAGAATTGATCTTTAATGTCGTCGTTGCTATCATTGGTGGGTGCATAACATTGGATAATATTCATTAAGATCCCCTACTTCTTTGTTTTGAATGATGCTTTGATGATTCTGGATCCGTGAG